GTTCTAAATTTAAATAAAACATTACTGCATGTGTTCTGATATTACCATATCTGCTCATAAATTAGAAGTGTATAAAACACTAAATCATATGCAAAGGATATCTATGGAACTATCATATTTATACATTTACTATGTCTTTTGATAGCAGTGAAAATATCAGCAAGTTCTTAAAAGTTCTCATAAATTGGTCCTTTATGAGTTATAAACAGCTAGTTAGTATCTTTCTTGTGTGTTCTATGGAGTTATGCATATGTAGAAGATCCAATGAGATGGTACTTTATTTATTTTCAGGTTTCATATAATGTAAAGCACTATTACACTGTATATGTTCTGAATGGACAATAAGAGTTTCAAAAGAAAAACTATAGGGTGGATTAATAGCTACTTGTTTTTGTTGCTATATAGCAGAAATGGAGGGATAGATTAGAAATGGAGGGTTCAAAGTGAAGAATAACCTCAATCTTTTATGTGACAATTTGTGTTGACTTTGATTTGTAATTACCTTGCAACTAAACATCTGTCTAATAACAACATAACGAAAGACAGAGAAAGATCTGAATTTTTCTTCAGCCCTTGTTTTCAGTTTTTCTTAAGATTGCATTCAATCAGTAATGGAAATATGGTTTCAACAAATTTATATATTGGTAGTCAGTATATTGTGATGGATGTGTTCCTGGAAGCCAACAGTACACATTCTACTTCTTTCCATGACAGATAAAAAGACGTGTGGGCCTCACGAGTTCCAGTGCAGAAACAACAATTGCATTCCAGATCACTGGCGCTGCGATGGTCAAAATGACTGCAGTGACAATTCAGATGAAGAGAATTGTAGTAAGTAACCTGTTCCTAATAATGCTCGGATTTTGACAACCTATTCAATAAGGTGTAGATTTCAACCTATCTGTTCCGAAGTTCAAACTCTTCTCTCTCTTTATCTATCTATCTATCTATCTATCTATCTATCTATCTATCTATCTATCTATCTATCTATACATATATATTCACATTTGGATGATTAAGATATTTAGATTAAGTTAACCTGAATCTCTAATGGTAGAATTATTGAAATGCTCATATTGGGAGGTTTTGAGGTAGGTTTTTTTTTTTCAGTTATCAGAATTGGTATAAAAATTCAGGAGGCTTAATACAAACCATTAGCATTCAATGAAGGAAGCCCTTGATTCAAATTCATACAATAAGCTGAAAACTATGGATATATTACAAAGCATATCATTCTTTAACAGATAGAATTAATATCATCTCTGTCTCACATCCTTTTATACTACAAATTCACTCACAAGTATCATTTATTCTCCATGAAGTGAGTAATTGCTTTTTTTGTTTTGTTTTCTGGCTGCTACATTTTATTTTATTTTCCACATAAGAAATATAACCAACTGATTAAATAGTTACAGATCTGCTTGTGTTCTTTAATTAAGAAAGAATGAATTGATGTCAAGAGACAAACTTTTCATTTCCTCCCCAAACAAGTATTTCAGGGGTCACAGAAACTCGCAAGGACATCGCCAACACAGGTTCAACAGATAGACAGCCCAAGCAAAGAGAACGAGTAGTGAATAACCATGGCGTTCAAACTTGAGGAAATGCCCCAAGAAGCTTCACTCTATCCAGCCCAATCCTCACCTTGGGCTCTTACATATTATCAATAAAGTTCATTGCCCTTTTTCACACACAAGGCCATCAACTTCCTGCACATATTCCAGTCCCATCACGTTTTTCTACCCTAAATTTTCCAATCCACAAGCAGAAATTCAAGTCATTCCAAATACATTCCCCAACTGTTTTGCATGGCTTTTCCACAAGGTATGCCCTGACTCAAATAGACTATAGGAAATGATTGTGCTGTCAAATACCACCACCCCCTTCTGCACTATG